CATTCAAGGTGAAGTGGCCTCTTAACACCCCTCTAGTTATAGGGAGGAAAGGAAGTGGAGTGGGGAAAGCAACTGGGAGGGAGGGGGTGGTTGTTAGTGGGTTACAGATCATTATAATAAGCCATAAATTCAGTGTCTCTATAGTCCATGATTTTTAGTGTCTAGCAAAGTTATGAATTTAAGCTCCCTGGCTCAGCTTTTGAAAGTGTTGTGCAGGTTTCCTTTGAAGATGGGGACTGATACGTTGGATGTGGAGTAGGATCTGACTGTTTTGCAGTCTTATAGCTCATTTGAATGCTCAAACATTGCGAATATTTGCAAAGTGATTCTAATTTTTTGACTGGCACTTGCAATAACATACCTCAAATTTCAATCATCAATTTTGCCAGCAAACTGTGTCTCTGGATATGTCTACACTGCACTGAGCCTTCCAGCCCAGGTAAAGAGACTCACTAGCTCTAGCTCGAGCACTAAAAATAGAAGTGTGGGTTTTACAGGTCAGGCAGCAGCTCAGGCTCGCAAGCCCACCTGACCCGTGGGTTCTAAGCTCAGGGAGCTAGCTCGAGCCTCCGCTGGTGCTGCAATGTCCACACTGCTATTTTTAGTGTCCTTGCTGAACTAGTGTGAGTCTGTTTACCTGGGCTGGGAGGCACTTTTCCAGCTGCAGTGTAGAAGTGTTCATTTGGAAGTAACAGCTATTCAGTTCTAAGCATATAGTAACAGAAGCAGTTGTTCTAGTTAGATGCCTTTAGCACTAGTCTACTCCTCTGACATCAGTACAACAATCTATGAAAAGCCTTCTGTAATCACATAGGTCAAACGTACTGTAACATACAGTACAATTATAGCATCCGTATAGTATATCCTTACATGTCCTTGATAATGTTTACTCATTTGAGCCTGGATTCTGATCTCACTTGGAGTCATTCCAGGAAAATTACTCCAAATTTATATCAGGGTTCCTGCCCCTGATCCTTATGGAAACCCTCTATGAATGATTTTGAGAGAAGAAATCTCACTCCAGCAAGAGATTAAAGCTAGCTGTAGCTGTACTGTACTGACAGTAGGTCCCTCAGTTTCTTCAAAAAGACTGATTAACCAAATACAAATTACCCCCCATGTACCTTCCTCATCCAAAGTACTGGTCCCATTATCCCATCACTTTCAATAGCGTTTTTCAATGTCATAAGCTAAATCTTGCCTGTCTTGATGTTGTTACCTGTCACAACCTTAGTCTTTGTGCAGAGACCCCAGTGATGTCAGTGGCATCTCCACATGGAGAACTGGAATAGAATATGGCCCTTATTATTTATTCATATGTTTGGGGACTGATTCTCATTTCTTTTACACCAGTGTAATTCAGTGATACCTTGACTGAAGTCACTGGAGTTACCCCTGTGTAAAGCAAGAGCCAGTGAGAACAGACTCATGCTTGGAGTCTTCACAGCTATAATTTTTTAGCTAAAATTGGCAGGACACTTTACAGGTTGATCACTTACAAGAGTTTCTCTTTACCTTCTATGTAAGGGAGTTATATGACTGTGTGAAAGAATAAATATATCCTTTCAGTTCATGGTCAGACTATGTAGTAAACTCTATTTTTAATCAGGTTAGGTTCCATTCTACACCCTATGTATTTTTTTTTAAATTATATTTATATCCAGTAGCTCTTTACAGCTAATTGCCTCTAGGCAGGGCGCATCATAAATTCCTGAGTTTGTATAGTATCTACCATAACGAGGCCTCGATCCTTGCGTTTTCAGGTGCTACTGCAATATAAATCAATGTATTGAAAGTTTAATTAAACTCTTATTCACCTATATAAATTTTGAGCCAGACTGTGGCTGGCCCTGTGTGGATGCACAAGGGGAGAAGAAGGTGCATGAAGCTTTTTTCCCCTCCCATTTGTGTTCCCGTGCAGGGGTCACTCACAGTCCCTGGAGGGAGTGCAAGAACTGCATGAATCTAGCACTATGAGTGGGTCTGTACTCACTAAAAGGGATGGGCAGGGCACCAGCCAGCAGAGTTGAGCAGGTGTGAAAGCAGTGCAGTATAGTGTAATCTGTGACAGGTTGGTAGAGCTCCAAGTGACAACAGGTGCTGCACACAGAAGCCTAGCAGAATAACCACAGCCAGCATCAGGCGCATGGACTGAAACTGTCTTCTTTATCATGGCTCTATAAACAGCAGAGAGGCTGCTTCATTGGCCCTCCACAACAGGGAGCCCTGCATTCCAGGGGGCAAAGTCTCTACGTGCAAGCAAGTGGGATCCTTGCCTCAGCAGTGGCTCCCATACACAGCCCTGATGCATGTTATTCTTGTTCCTGGCATGAGAAATCTGTGCAAAGGGCTTTGTGCATGAGGCTGTGGCCAGGCAAAATATGAATGTGCATGAACACAACATAAGTGTGTGCCCAATTTGGGTGCCATTTGGCACAGCTGGAAACTGTTAATCCCTTTAATCCATATCCCCTTCCCCTTAACTCTTCACTAATGTCAATAAGGGTCTTCAGTTTTCAACAGGAGAACTGACCTATGCTGTAATCTATTGTAAAGATGAAAAGTTAATCTATACTTGATCCCATCTACTTTTCTATTTTAGAGGTAATTTCCTTTCTGAATTAAGCTGCAGTGTATCGTAGAGTAACCCATTCATGATCTCTTCCTCTAATATTAACTCTCTTTAATGGTACCATTTCAAATGATATTTTCCCTATAATAAGTGTAAACAAGCTCCACCTACATAGGTAATGGTCATCTACACAAGTTTACCAGTGTAATTAGTTTTATCACATTAAATTGTTCAGATTTTAAACTCTTTGTGGGCTTGTTCTGAAGGCAAAACTTCCATTGACTTCTGGCTTTACTGAGAGTTTCTTCTTTAACAGCCATGTGGGATCTGGCCTTATATGTTTGCATGGCAACCCTTCCAATAGCTCATATCCAATCCTCTGCTGACAATAAGCAGCAATTGCTTCAGTAACCTATTATTTTTTAGCAATAGCTTTTCAAAATACAGCAAACCGTATACATTTCTTTCTTTCTGTCTTCAGTTTCTGTGACAAGGTATAGGGGCCCTTCAAGATTCCCAGTAAACCGGGTGCTTACTCCCTGCCTCACTCAAATATTCAGGATGGAGTAACAAGGCTGGATCAGGGGCTAAAGACCTGATGCGGATCTTTCATTAGCTTTATACCAGTGTAGTTCCAACAGGTTCAATGGAGTTACTTCTGAGACTCAGTAGTGTGAAAGGAGAGTCAGTGCTCAAAGCCCAACGAGGCATTCAGAAGGAATTTAGGACATACCATGTAAATTGGTAGTGAATGGGGAGAGAGGCCTTTACAAGAGGCAAAACTCCACACAGAAGGTCTAACTCAAAGTCTTTCCATTGACTTTAGTAAACTTTGGATCAGGCCTCCAATAGGCTGACTTGTAATCCAAGGTGTTCTGCTTGTTTTCGTTTTTGTTTTTAATTTGGATTCTTTCGTACCTCAGCCATTTGTTCACTTTTCATATAACTCAGGCCCACGGATGCCCAAGGACAAAGCCCGGATTAAAAATCTTGCTTGTTGACAGTCTTTGTTTTGTTGCTGAACCCAGTGCTGGCCCACTGCCCCTTTCCGCACTTGTACGCTCATGTAATATTATTTCTCCCCACCCCTTAAATCTATCCTGTTGTAGAAAACCTCTCACAGGACATTTTCAAGCTAAAAAACGGAAATAAATATCTATCTGATCAAAAGGCGGCAGGGGAAGATTGAACACCTCAAACTCTGAGGGTCTTGCTAACTTTTGTTTCCACTGCAGATGCAGTGTCTAAGCACTTTTATAGGAAACATTATTCCTTATGGGACTCCATTAGTACTCCATGCTCTCACCGTTTCCTGACAGTAGACACAGGAGGCAGGCATTACTTATTCTGTTAGAAGGTTTCCCTACCACTAGTGCAATCTCAAACTGTCCAAAATGTCTCTCTTAATAGGACAACACACACTGAGCTGCAGTCAAATATTTGGATGCTAAAGATTAAGCCCTCAGGAGACTTCTGTTGTTGTTGCAATAATGTATCACCAACCATTAAAGGATATTTTAAAGCTACTCCAATTTTTCCAAAAGGCCTCTGGAGAGGTAAAGAAGAAAAAAACCTCTTGCATTTAATGTCTGCAGGGAGTTCTAGAATTTGGGTTGTAGATTCATCAGAAATAAGCAATTTTCCTGGGATGATATTCACATATATATATATATATATATATATATATATATATAAGAATAAAGTACCAGAGGATATTTAACTGTTCTCACTGCTATTTCAACCAAACTGTATGTGTTGTAAAATGGGAATTTCACCATCTTTACAGAGCCTAATTCATGCATTTCTAGACGAGGAGAACTGCATGATAAAAACCTATTTATTTTTGGTGTAAATAGGTCTTCTACCTTAGCATTAGTGGTATATCTGAGATGTCTTTGTAGTGTTAACACACTATTATACAGCAGTTTTAACACACTGTAGCAAAAGCCTGTGCACAAGACAAGAAAGCAATGTATGTAACTGTAGATCAGCAATATTGGGTCTTTTTTAATAATGTTTCTAGTTAAAGTACATAAAACAAGTCCTAGACTTGAATTGTTTACTCAGCTAAATAATAAAACCGACATTCAGCCTAGTATCAGGGAAGCTCAGGCAACAGACATATCCACAATTCAATCATGGTTAAAAATTACAGCTCTCCAAAATGTGCTGAAATGTAATGGGAAAAAGAAGGCTGGAACTGAATGAAATCAGTGTCAGTCGTTGATTTCTAGAACATACAAAGACAGTGAGTATAAACGTGTTACTTACAAGTGCTGAGGATTTTAGGGAATGAAAATGGAGACCAGGAGCTGGAGACTGCCTGCCATGCCAGCAGTGTTGATTTGGAAACGATGGACACAAATAAACATTCAGCAAAGCTTAAAAACTGTAATGCAAAGCTAGCCAAAAGTGTCCATGTCCTTACCGTGCTGTGGCTGGCAGGCAATCCGTTTCTGGGAGCCTTCAGTCCCGCTAATCAGGCTCCGGGGATTTTGTTTGCAAGGGAGATTGTCCTTTAAGTGATCAGTGCAGGAAAACGGAGAAATAAAGAGAAATGAGCAAATTGTACAAGGCAAATAGCTGCAGGTCTTTAGCATGCTCCCTGCGTTTTCCTAAGCTGCATCTGCAGGAGAGAAAATATCCCCAAAATAGCTCAGGCTGTCAATGACTTGCTGAAACCTGAGAAAGAATTGCTGAATTTAAAGATCTGCATTGCTGTGGGTGTATAATTAAAATGAGAAACTGCTGGCAGGAGGAACCTGGGATGGAAGCACATGCTTAAGGAGTAACTTGCAAGTTCACCAGTGTCAGAACGTGACCTGACCCCTGATTTTCCCCTTCCTCCCTCTCACATCAGTTAACCCCTATGAGTTCAATGTGGAGGAAAATTCTGTACTAGTGCAGTGGGAGGGAGAGGATACATAGATGGCCAAGAAAGCTCTTTCAAACCCTATTATCTGTGGTTCAGTGACAGTAAGTTACAGCAGTGTCCCACTTTCTACATTTCAAAGCAGTCAAATAAGCTGATGTTATGCATAGGTCTCTGGAGCTGCAAATTTTAACCTAAGGAAATCTCAACTGCATGCAGATTTTTGTTTTGACAGTCTGCAGCAGGTTAATTAATGTCAGCCTAGTGCTGAGGCTAGTGTAGTCTGTTTGAATCAACCTTAATTTTAAAGACTACACCAGCTGTGTTGTTAAAATGATTCTTGAAAAATATTTTGAATGGGGTCAATGCCAACGATAGAGAGGAACTAAGAGTTGGATGAAGATATAACCAGGAATAGTGGGGTTAAATTTAAATAAGGGGAATATATGCTGATATCAAGGAAAAGAACTGATCATAGGATCTGTTGAGCTAAGAAATAACCTCCCAAGGGATCTGGTAGTAGCTCCATTGCTTTGGACATTTAAAATACGACCGAACAAGACACTACAAAAAGTTCTAAACAATACAGCCCCGCATTTCCGGGAGATGGATTAGAAGACTTAATAAGTAGTTATTTTCCTTCTATAATCAATATGGGTCTAGTCCTGCCAGGGGAATACTCTCCTCCTCCCCCTGCCCCCAGTCACTTGATGCCAGCTAAGATATTGGAAGATAGCCTGCAAAGCAGCAGTAAGGGCCCTCTTACCCTTAGCACAGGGGGAGTCCAGGAAGTGCAGAGTCAGCATAGTGAGACTCAGTGCGGGAGCATGGCGGGCAGCTATCTGTGCCACAGCTCTCCCCATCAGTTGGATGGAGAAATAGGGACCATTGCAGTCAGGGGGTAACTTCAAGTATCCCCTGAGTCTTCTCTAACCTGCACCATAGACTGAATGGGCCCCTGGGCAGTGGGGAGGAGCTCTGCCTCCTTTCTTGGTCCTTGCCTTCACTGGGATCAACACTGGCACAGGGATGAATCAGGGCCAAATATTTACTCTGACAAAACTCCCAGAGATTAAAGGGACTGACAAGAAAGCCTGGTGTGCTAAGGAGGCTATGTTATACCATGTGGTTTAGGGCCTTGTTCAGGTTACTTTAGTCAGGCAAACTCTGATTGTTTATATTATGGTAACACCTGGAGCACCAGAGGGGGATCAAGGTTCTGTTGTGCTGACCTGAATGGAGCAGGTTGGGAAGTTTTAGACAAAACAGTTTTACATCAGAAAATGCTGATTTGTCAGGAACAAAACTTTTTGCAGTAATGTGTCAAGTTCAACAAAACACTTGTTGGGAAATTTCGCAGGTCCGTGATGGAGTTTCTGGTCAAAATAAGAGTGTGTGTGAACACGCGTATGCAAGACAGAGACCCACCCCAGTATGGCCGGCTTTGTAGCCTGGCATGTTGGAGACTCATGTTGAAGTCCCTGCTCTGCCTCATTCAGGCAAGTGCTCTCACTACTGGGCTATTCTGGGCTGTCAGGCTTTAAAAGGTGTTGGGTTTTGTCCTGATGCAGAATGAGAAAATTGGAATCTTGGAAAATTTCCCACACAGCTCTAGCACTGAACAGCCATAAAGAGACACAGGCCCTATCTCACCAAGTTATCAGACAATGGGACAGATCTGTGATAACTCTTTCATGCTGAACAGCTCCTTAGACCATGACGGTCCCATTGAATCAATGGGATTAGCTGTGATTAAGGGTATCACCATCTGGCCCAAACAGCATTCATTGGAAACTTTACTACTCATTACTGGGTTTAGGGACTAAATCTTCAGTTGTGCTGGAGGAGAACTTGATGCAGTTGAGGGAGGAAGCCAAAGATGACTCTAACTTTCCTTTCAGTCCCCCACCCCTTCCTGGGTCTAACTAGGGTCCAAAACACCCCTTCCTGGGTCTAACTGGGTTCCAGAGCAAATTAAAGTAGCATAAGGACTGCCCTGGTTTGTGCTGGCTTGTGATCATCCCCTAGTGTTCTGTTGGCTTGCATGGATCTCAGGAGCAAAGCATACTTTGACCCAGTTCGTGAACTGCCTCCTCTCATATATGTCTCCCCATGCTGGGAAGGGAACTAGGAGGGATTGGCATAGAGCTGTCCAGATTGGCTTTATGAGAGCTGATTGTCCCCACAAATGCCAGGAGAATTTTATCAGCTACACATTTAAGGCAATTTTAAGGTCCCTTGTGCCACTATAGCATGGTCTAGGATCTGGCTCTAAGCCCCTTTCCCTTTTTATACTTGAACTGAAAGGGGAAAAGCAGTTTCAAAAATATAACCAGGTTGGATTCAACCAGATGGGACTCCATTATGGGACACTGCTCCCTTGCAAAGCAGGTCTGCATCTGAGAAGCAAGCTTAACGGCAGTTTAGTTTTAATGCTTATTTTTTGATTGATGCCAAACGATAGCATACCAGATAGGTGGAATGTCATATGCAATATATTTTAATGGATGTGGCAAGCCCTGACATTAACGAAACCATTGACTATGTAAGCTTTAGGACATGGTAATCCCTGTACATCTGAGCCCCTTGAGGTGGGTTTTTTTTTTCCCCCTAAGGTGTTTGATCATTTTGTCTTGGGGAAGTTGTGCACATGTTTAATATTGACTAACCATTGTAGGTCTCACTCACTCAGTGTAGTTTTGCTGGACTAAGAACTCTGGGATTTGGCACATAAAGATAAGTAAACTTTTAAGCTGCTCCTACACAAGGAATGCTGAGGACCTCAAAGTATAACTGAAACCAACAGTATCAGAGAACAGGGCGACGAGGTGATATCTTTTATTGGGCCAGCTTCCATTGGTGAGAGAGACAAGCTTTCGAACCACGTAGAGTTTGTTTTCAGGTCTGGGAAAGATACTTCCAGTCTGAAGAAGAGCTCCGGGTGGCTCAAAAGCTTGTCTCTTGCACCAACAGAAGTTGGTCCAATGAAAGATATTCCCTCACCCACCTTGTCTCTCTAATATCCTGGGACTGACACAGCTCCAACTACACTGCATATAGTATAAGAGAACAGTAAATCCAATAAATCCTGCAACCAGTTTAAAAATGAAGGGTTAACGAACTCATTTTACATAATAGTCTCATAACATGGCTTCCGAAGCTTGGCTCTGATTCAAACGTAGCTCAGTTTGCATTCTGCTCAGGGACAGGAGAGACAATGGGGAGCAGGAATCTTGTGAAAAATAGAACAGAGAACAATAACTACAGGGAGACTGGAGAGGAAGGAAGCTGAGGAGAGAGAAAATACTAATGTGGTGGGCGGGGAAATGCTGTATACAGCGCTCCTATTGGTGCCAGATTGGTATGTAGCCCAGACATTCACTAACTGGAAAGTCTCTTTAAATTGACCTTCCCTTGGCACAATACAATGGTTTCAATCCCAGGAAAAACAGCTTCATGATACAAACTAGTTTTGTAAATGGTATGAATCCAAAAAGACACATTGACATTCATAAGCCCTTGTACTCCGGAGGATTGATCACTCCACAGCAAAAATAAAACTCCAACCCACCACCCATAAATAACTCCCCACTTCCACCCCAGACAAGAAAATAAAAACGTATTTGGCTGTGCTAGTAAAAGTATCACCAATACACTGATGTGTCACTGTTTGGTGTAAGGTGCCCCCTAATTCCCCTCCTTGGGTTACCCGTGTTGCCAGTAGCAGCACAGGAGTGGGGAGGAGAAAGCAGCGTCCATGGGACTGCAACTCCCCCTTTGCACGGGTGGGTGAGCAGGAAGTGGGTGGAGCCTTGATTCTGAGCCCTATCCCAGTGCACCAACCAGTGCAGAGAAGGAAGGAATCTATGCCAGATATAGGGCTGTGACAGATTACCTTCTCCCCATCTCCCTCCTCCTCCTCCTGGAGCAAGGTGGGAATCTGTCATCAACTGCAGCTACACTTGGCCTCTTATTCAAGGCTTATGGCAAAAACACAATTGAGCCCTGTTGTGTGTTTGTACAGCGCCTAGCACAACAGGGATCTGGTCCTCCATGGGCTCTCGATGCTACCGGAATACTACTGCTTCAAACTGGTGATGTACCTTCAGGCAGAGAGCATTCCAGAATCACAGGCCTTCAATTAAAAAGGCCACTTATCTCATCCCTGGGCCAGTCAGCAATTCCAATCCCACTGATCTCAAGGGTCATGCTAGGAACTAGGGCAGCAGGCAGTCCCTGACGTAGGCTGGTTATGTTTTCGTATGTCTCTGTATACCAACAGGAACATTTTGAAGTGCGTCTGGGGAATGAATAACTGTGACTGAGCCCTGTGCGGCAGCATTCATCCTCAGAAGAAAGGCAATGAGTACCAGTATGAATACATTAACTGAATGGATTATCTGAGATGTTTCAAGGCCAGCAAAACAAATCTGACTACAATCTAATCCAAAGGAGACCATAATTAGAGATTAGTGTCTGTGCTAACAGAGTGACCATGCATTTAAAAAAAAAAGAAAAAAAGAGAAGTCTGTGCCTCCAATGAGCTGACTAATTCAGCCTCTCTCTGATCATTATAAAGTGGTTGCTTATGCAACACAGAGAAAAGGAGTACTTGTGGCACCTTAGAGACTAACCAATTTATTTGAGCATGAGCTTTCGTGAGCTACAGCTCACTTCATCAGATGCATACCATGGAAACTGCAGTAGACATTATATACACACAGAGACCATGAAACAATACCCCCTCCCACCCCACTGTCCTGCTGGTAATAGCTTATCTAAAGTGATCATCAAGTTGGGCCATTTCCAGCACAAATCCAGGTTTTCTCACCCTCCGCCCCCCCAC